ACCTGGTCGAAATAAATATTGGGACACTTACTTAGCATAGATATTTTTCAAAGTTATTAAAAAATGTATAAAAAATAAAAAAAGTATAAAAAAAATGCATCTTTAACAACCCAATATTTTTTTGGATGTGCTTACATATCATAGAAGTAACGCAAGCTTAGAAGTTTGAATTCTTCCATTCTGAACATGTCGACGGTCAAACATTGTAATCGATAGGTAAAATCAGGAAAATGTAATATTTCTTAAGTTATCCGATCTTAGGAGGAATTCTTGGCCCTTTGAAGTACAGGCCTACTGATCTCGGTAATATAAATGCCGCCGAAAAAGTGTCTTTTTTTATACTGTGGTAAGATTAAGATTAAGATTCTGAATTGTGAGGCTTATTTAAGCAATTTCAGAATAAAACGTCCCGTTCGCCACGGCCATAGGCCCATAAAGTATCACCCTTTCTTTTGGAGCTACGCGTGTGGTGAGCCGTTTAAAGGCAACTCCACATTAGACAAGGGCAAGGGCAAGGAGGACGGCGCTGGAGGACGGCTTAACGACCAGCTAGAGAGTTGCCAGGAGCCAGTAGAGGAGCGCAGCCAGCGACATAGAGGGCGCAGCCAGCGCCGATTACTGTGTACGGACGGAGTCGCAGCCAGCGACAGGGAGACGCAGCCAGCGTTAGTTGAGGAGACCGCAACCAGCGGTCAGGAGGCGCAAGGAGCGCCAAGCATCAGCGGCCGCAGCCAGCGGCCAGAAGGCACAGGTCCGTCATTTTGGAGCGCTGGGGCAGCGCCATATTTGGACTTCCAGCATTCCCCCAGGAGGAGTTCCCGGCTGAACGAAGGAGGAGAAAGCCACCCCTACAACAACGCGAGTGGATCAGCAGCCATCGTGTAGTGGACAGAAAACCGGCCGCTGGTGAGCATAACCACGGCGGCGGCCACCGTGACTACAGTAGCGTCCCAACCTAGCTGCGTGGCAGCTGCATCGCCATTTGTTGGATCCTCCGTGACGCCGAATGGAGCCCAAGAAGCGAATGGGCTAAGGAGGCTCCCGGACTTGCCTGTATTTGGAGGGCAGCCCGAGGAGTGGCCCATCTTTAACTGTGCGTTTGTGGAGACGACCCAAGCGTACAACTGCACGGACCTGGAGAACAACCAGAGGTTGTTGAAGGCGCTGAAGGATGAAGTACGCGAGACAGTGAAGTCGCTGCTGATTCACCCTGGGAACGTCAGCGCCGTGATGGAGCAGCTGCGCATTAGGTTTTGCCGATCGGAGTAGCTTATACGCAGCCAGCTGAACAGCGTGCGAGAGGTACCGCCGATTAGGTAGCAGCACCTGGCGAGGATTGTTCCCTTCCCAACCCGAGTGAGTAACCTCACAGCCTTCTTGCAGTCGGCGAAGGTGAAGCAGCATCTGGGGAACCCCACCCTCATGGACGAGCTTGTGGCAAAGCTTCCTACGAGCAAGCGAGTGGATTGGGCCAGGCACGCTGCATCGATCGAGCCCTTTTGCAGTGTAGCGCACTTCAGCGCGTGGCTACAGGAGTACGCAAACATCGTGCGTACGATTTTGGACGGCGAGGAAAAGGAGCCGAGGCGTCGAGTTCTACACGCGAGCGTCGACCAGAACGGATACGAGCAGCGGGATGACCGGCAAGGAGGTTGTCCAATTTGTGGAGGGCAATATGCTACGACGAGCTACAGGGAGTTCATAGGAGCTTCGCCACTGGGCAGGTGGAGCATGGTGAAGAGGCATCGGCTCTGCTTCACAAGCTTACGGAGTAGTCATACGGCCAGATCAACGGATGCCACAAATTGCACCACCGTCTGCTACATGGAGCGGACGAAGAACGAAGATGGTCAGAGCAGCGAGGTGGCTTCAGGCGCCACAACGGAGGAAACCAGCAGTCTTCGCCACGAGGTGGTTACAGGGACCACGAGAGGGGCCAGCAGTCGGCTGTCCTCAGAAACAGCCTGGAGAGAAGGGCCCCGCAGCCAGCGGAGGCGCCCGTGCAGAGGAATTTAAGCATTGACGTCGAAGGTGGCCGACTTTTGTTCCGTATACTGCCAGTAACGCTGAACGGAGCTGGTCGGAAGGTGGACACATATGTGCTCATGGATGATGGATCCTCCGTCACGATGATCGACGACGAGCTACGGAGGGATCTGGGAGTGCGAGTCGAACATCGACAGCTGAACATCCAATGGTTTCGAAGAAGGGCCAGCAGGGAACCCACCAACGAGGTGAGCCTGGCGATAAGTGAAGCTGGGAAGCCCGCTCGCCCGTTGAGGAACGTGTACGCCATTACGAGCTTGAGTCTGCCGATCCAGACGTTATGTCGACGAGATGTCCAGGGCGTGCATAAGGATTCGCGACTGCCTATGAAGCCCTACAGCAACTTGGTGCCGAAGTTGCTCATCGGACTGGACCATAGGCCATGAAGGTTTTGCCTTCTAGCCGTGTCAATGGACGAATCGATGGAAAGATGGTGGAGGACTACTTCGAGATGAAAAGCTTTGGTGTGAAGCTCGCGCCGCCGGTCGCAGCCAGCGACCTCGACCAAAGGATCCTCGAAGACACCACGGTGAAAGTGGGGCGTCGCTACCAGACGGGATTGCTCTGGAAGGACGAACACGCTGTGCTGCCACGGAGCTACGAGATGGCGCACAGACAACTGATCAACGTCGAGAAAAAGTTGAAGCGCAACGGGCAGTTGGCGATGGAATACGATCGGATCATCAAGGATCATGTGTCCAAAGGATATGCAAGGATGCTGCAGCCGGATGAGGTCGCGGATGAGCGACAAGCTTTGGTATTTGCCACATTTTGGTGTCGAAAACCCGAACAAGCCCGGTGAGGTCCGGCTTGTGTTTGATGCTGCAGCCAAGGTTGGGGGAACCTCGCTAAATTCGGCGCTGGACAAGGGGCCTCAGCCCTACAAGCCCTTGCCAGCCGTGCTCTTCCACTTCAGGGAAGGAGCAGTCGGAGTCTGCGGTGACATCAAGGAGATGTTCCACCAAGTGCTGATCCGACCCGAGGGTCGATGTTCCCAACGATTTCTTTGGAGAGATGGTAACGACGATCGAGACCCGGATGTGTACGAGATGAACGTAATGACGTTTGGAACAGCCTGCTCGCCGAGAACTGCGCATTACGTGAAGACGGTGAATGCTCTGAAGTTTCGGGATTCAGATCCGAGGACAGTCAAGGCCATCATCGACCACCATTACGTCGATGACTATGTGGACAGTTTCGCTACGGAGAGCGAAGCTATTGAGGTATCTACCCGAGTGAAGGAGATACATGTGGAGGCTGGATTCAAATTATGCCAGTTTTCATCTAGCTGACCCATCGTGGAAGCGGCGTTGGGACCACCTGTACAAGTGAAGAGCGTCGGATGGGGTGAGGCTGAGCAGAAGATCCATGGAATGCGTTGGCAGGTAGCAACGGATGACTTCAGATTCAACGTGGAGTATCATCGAGTGCGAAAAAGCGTTCTAAGTGGAGATCGAGTCCCTACAAAGAGGGAGTATTTGAGCCTGCTGATGTCAACGTTCGACTCATTGGGGTTCCTGTGCTGCCTGATGATTATAGCGAAGCTGTTGCTGCGGGTGATCTGGAGGCAGAAGATCCAGTGGGACGAACCACTGCCGGAGGAAATAAGCAGAGCCTTTGCTGCCTGGCGCAGAGAGATGGACGCCGTGGGACAGTCGTGGACGCAAGTCAATCTGCATTCGCGCCGGTGGCCTATTGGAGGGTCACGTACAAGGATGGCAACATGCTGGTTAGCTTCGTTAGCTAACGGTTAGCAAAGACGAACTGTGCGCCGATGAGAACGACTTCCATCCCACGGCTGGAGCTGCAGGCAGCGGTCCTTGGAACCAGAGTGATGAACACTGTCAAGGAAGACCATAGTGTGGGACTCAAAAACGGTGCTGAAATGGATCGGCAGCACCCACCGCGGAGATTTTGGAGTCGTCGAAGGTTTCCCAGTGGAGATGGGTGCCTACAGCTGACAACGCAGCGGATGATGCGACGCGATCGCAGAGCATGGCGGACCTTAGTCCGGAGTCCCGGTGGCTAAGCGGTCCCATATTTTTGAGGCAGCCAGCAAGCGGCTAGCCAGCGCCGGAGGAGGGAACCGAGCATGTTCCAGATGCACCTTTTTTTTTTTTTTTTTTGGATTGCGCCATTGAGGTGAAAATTTATCCTAGATACTATTGGCCCGTACCAATAGAATGCACGATTCACCGGCATGTCTAGCCGGCGCCTACGTACTCAAGACACCCCCGCACACACCACAGACCCCGCGGTACCACTGCAAAGTATTACTTCGCGGGGAAGGGTTGCCTAATCTAGGCATTCTCCTTTAAGCGACGTTCATTTTCAAGTTTTCTTGTGTATAAGCTATCAACTGGCTTACCCAGTCCCATTGCTCCTGTGAGCTACACATGTATTCCACAAGATGTTCCAGATGCATCTGATGAGGAGCAGATGCCCAGTGAGTTCACAATGGTTGCATCGAATGAATTTGTAATCCCGTTCCAGAGTTTCTTGAGCTTCAGTCGCCTGGTGAGGACCACAGCCTGGGTCCTCAGGTTTGCGCGCCGGTGCCGCAAACAGAGAAGCGAGCTCGAGGAATGTGGACTCACTGCAACGGAGTGTGAGGCCGCGGAGAATCTGTTAGTCAGGCAGGCCCAATTAGAATCATTTCCCGACGAGATGAGGTCGGCGGAACGTGGAAAGGACGTCACCAGCTCGAGCGAGATTCGAGGTCTGGCGTCTTACGTGAATGAACATGGAGTTCAGCGAGTCTAATGCAGAGTTGATGCCGCGCTGTCCATGCCTTACAGTGCGAGGAGGCCTGTGATACTGTCACCCAGGCACAGTCTTACGGAGATGATAGTAAGACACTACCACGCCCAGGTGAAGCATCAAAACGTGGATGCGACGCGGGCGATGCCGCCGATAAAGAGACCCCTTCCTGAAGATCGCTTGGAAGCGGGAGGATGGCCATTCAAGTATACAGAACTGGACTACTTTGGGCCACTGCTAGTGACTGTTGCCCGTCAAAGAAGGAAGAGTTGGGTCACCTTGCTTACTTGACGTGCTTGACGACAAGGGCGATTCATTTGGAGCTGGCGCATGACCTGTCAACGGATTCCTGTATAATAGCGATCAGAAACTTCGTCTGCCGTAGAGGACCAGTTCGTAAACTGCGGAGTGATAACGGCAAGAACTTTGAGCGAGCTGACAGGAAGGACAGACGATTTGGAGATGTGTTTGAGACGGAGAAGAGTATTAAATGGGTCTTTAATTGCCCATCCAACCCGTCTGAGGGCGGAGTACGGGAGCGGATGGTGCAGTGCGTCAAGCGAGTGCTGCGTCATACCCTGAAGGAAGTCGCGCCGAGGGACCATGTGTTGGAGAGTCTCCTGATAGAGGCGGAGAACATAGTCAACTCGCGTCCGCTCACCCACTTGCCAGTGAATGCGGACCTAGATGCGCCGTTGACGCCAAACGACCTGCTCAAGGGAGCAGCTAACCTGCCGGATACGCCTGGATTAGATGCGGAGCTGCCCAAGGAGGGTTCTACGTGAAAGCAGTGGAGGATTGCCCGCATTCTGCGAGACCGTTTCTGGAGGAGGTGTGTCATGAAGTACCTGCCTACGCTTGTGCGCCGCAAGAAGTGGTGCCGGAGACCGGAGCCCATCCGCCAGGGCGATAAGGTCTTCGTCTGCGATCCTGCCTTGCCCAGACGAGAGTGGCGCAAGGGCATCGTGGAGGAGGTTTACAGCGGAGCTAATGGAGTGGTCAGACGCGCAACTGTGCGCGTGAACGATAATGGCCTATCTCGGACAATGTTGCGGACCGACTCTAAACTTGCAGATTTGGATTTGAGTGAAGAGGTTCTTCACGGGATCGGGGATGTCGACGGTCGAACATTGTAATCGATAGGTAGAATCAGTATTGGTAGGAAAATATAATATTTCTTAAGTTATCCGATCTTGGGAGGATTTCTTGGCCCTTTGAAGTACGGGCCTACTGATCTCCGTAATATAAATGCCGCCGAAAAAGTGCCTTTTCGTTGTCTTGTGAATTATAGGAGGGCACACTGCGGTAAGATTAAGATTAAGATTCTGAATTGTAAGGCTAATTTAAGCAATTTCAGAATAGAACGCTCCGTTCGCCACGGCCATAGGCCCTTAAAGTATCACCCTTTCTTTTGGTCCTATGTGTGTGGGAAGCCATTTAAAGACAACTCCACATGAGGCCAGAAAGAATATATTCTGGGACTTTTTTCTGACCAGTGTTGTGAAACGAGATTTTTTTCTAGTAGGAAATTATTATTGGTACACTACACAGTGCGACAAAAAAAGAAAAATTGAAGGAACTTTTGAAGAGACCTACTAGGAATTGTTCATTAGGTCGAGTATAGTATAAAACCGTGTTTGAAATTTTTCTAACACCCTCAAAATCTTGATTTATTTAGAAAAAACGGTTTTTCGGGACTTTTTAAGCTCCTAAAAATTCCTAAGCGCGTAATTTTAAACCAATTTTAAAATTGTTGACCTTTTTTAATAGTTAAATGTTGTAGCTTTTGAAAAAAAATAGATCTTTAATTTATTTCAACAAAAAAGATACAATTTTTACGCAAGAAACTGACATTTTTGAAATTTTGTCGTGTTTGTCAGATTTTGACGCCATTTTTTCGCACAATTTCTAAGAAATGATATCATTTTTGACACATGTCAAAATTGTCTCGTTAATTCTGAATAAAACGAGACCAATTTCATTAGGTAATTATGAAAATTGTTGAAGTTATAACGCTTTTCCCAAAACAAGTCAGTCCAATCTTGCTAGCGTTCCGGAGTAATAGTGTGCCCTTCCATTTCGCTTATTTCCTTTCTTTTACACACTTTTACTCCGGAGCGCTAGTGAAATGGCACTGACTTGTTCTTTCGCTTAAAAGTTCACCTTAAAAGTTTTTTCACTTTTTATACCCTTAAGGATATAAAAAAAATTAATATTCATGTTTTTTATTTTTCGCTTAAAGAATAATTGTTTGTAATATAATAAATTAAAAATAAACAATGCCCATTAGTTTGTGATTTCTAAATAAAAATATATTTTTAGCCAAGAAAATTAATAAACAAAACCAACAGAATTATTTCAGCCATTTCGCAACACGTTTGCAACAATATTTGCAATCAATGTAATGACCCCTTTTCTACCCGAATCCAAAAATTGATTCAATGTCTCAAAAATGAGTATTGCGCAATAATCCAGTTTATGACCTGGACTTTTTGAATAGAAACACTACGAAACAATAATGATCAGCCGTTGCTCCGCAGTCCCAGAAGAATCAGTCCCAATTTTTCGTTTGAATTAAACAGAGAAAATTGCATATTTTAACTACCTTAATATTCATATTTTAAGTTTTTCCATGCGTAAAACTAAAAACTAAATAAAGACTCTGCCTATTAGGAGTTGCACAATTAAAGACATACGTACATGTATTTCTTTTTTATACCTATAGATATTGGTATATCTAAGTTTTTTTTTTTATAAATAAGAGTATGTGGGCCTAACATTTAACGACTCATAATCCCGGACGACTGTTTTGATGTTTTTCATTGACGGTTTTTTATACGCACTACGGATCACGTCTAGTGACTCCCAAAGAAACAGGTACAATTGCCTGTACAAAGCAATTCTTAAAGTGAAACAATAAACTGGACTATTTTTCCCCTGAAAGTCCCACATACTGGCCAATAGACCCTCCCACACCTTGTTAGATAGCGAGGTATGTTTTTTGTCACCGCAAAACTAATAAGTGGCTAAGCAGTCTCGGACTTATCATCAGAACACTACTTCCGCTTCTTCAAAGCCCAGAAATAACCGAACAACCCTTCAGCCTGATGTCGCCAAAAACGAACTGGCTTAAATACAAAAAGTATGTGAGTGCCCACATCGAAATCGCCCCGGAGCTTAACATGGAATCGGACATCGACTACTTTACGAGCGCCATAGGCCAGCTTAAATCTGTACTCCGCAAGGAAACGAAGTAGACCCAAAAAATATTACAAGTCCAATCAGCAAGTCAACAGCACGTGGGACGTACTCGCGTCGTGATTGGCAAAACAGCAGATCACCAGCTTAAAAAAACGCCTTAAATATACTACAGAAACTACACCTGTTACCGCCGTTATAAAATTAAGTGTTTATTTAAAAAATGAAATCGTTAGAATTAGTGTTGAATAATGTTAAGAATAAGTTTTGAAAAATGCTAGACGTAAGAGGCGTCTGCAATCGCTAGGTGAAGTTAACGAGGCGAGGGTAAACGACGAAGTTTTTTAGCGCGCGCCATTTGATTTGAGTTAAATAAAGGAAAGAACAACCAAATCCATGTTCGCTTAAAGAATCGTGCACAAACCTCGCCCCGATCCCAAAATTTTCTAAAAAACTTCCTCCAAAACTTCGTTACCTGCGGATTAAGGCAGAAAAACAGCGTCGCGTCGCTAGCAGACAACAGCTAGACCAACTGGAAGCGACAAATTTCGGAAATAACGAAGGTGAAGGGGTCGCTAGCAGCCAAGGCTAGGTTGAGTTTAGCACGCCATTTTTTGGGGAAAACCAGAACTCTTACGGATAAAGGCAAAGGTAAGGCGTCGCGTCCCTAGCAGCCACAGGCTATGTCGCGTAAGCACGCAGACAAGAAGAAGAAAAGCAGACGCCATATTGCACGCACGCCGGACGACGCGAAGCATGAACATTGAAGTGAGCAGAATTTGCGAGAACAAAAACGACATAGCGTCAGAAAATTGGGTACAGTGCGACGTTTGCGGAAGGTTGTACCATAGAGGACGGCGTAGAGGACGAAATTGAGAGAAAGGATTGGAGCTGCGATTACTGTCTTGCGGGTTGCAGTCACATAGCACCGTTTAGCGGTATGCAAAGATCACCAGTACAGCCTCAAACACGTGAAGACGCAATGGATAGCCCTCAACCGCACGGCAAAGCGCTAGCCGTCGATACGCTAATCGATACTGCCGGCAACGACGAGAACATGAATGTACGGAAAAATGTTCGGAATGTTCGGGTAAAACCTGTTTCTGCTGCCTTAAGGTGCACCAGAACAGATGCCGAACCGGGAACTGTGGAATTAATGGCTGAATAAGGAAACACCATGAGTTACTTCATACAGAATATGTTACTACCATAATCGGCCAAGACAGACCACAAAGTCACGTGAGTACTTATCGAGACGACAACCACGGAAGTCAGATCTTTCGCATCATTCCAGTCAAGCTGCATTAAGGCAGCAGGCAGACCAAGATCTATGCCTTTCTAGATGAAGGATCATCCGTGACCTTAGCAGATGCATTCGTATTCCAAAGACTGGGAACACAAAGCCAGGAAATGCCAATGCGTGTACAGTGGACCGCAGAGACGACTCAACTCGAGTGGACCCGTAAAAGCTCGGAAATGAACTGCGATAAGGTTTACTGGTTGAACAACGTCCAGACCGTTCAGAACCTAGCATTACCGAGACAGACAGTCAATATGAAGGAGCTATGCGACAGATTCCAGCATTTGAGAGACTTTCCGCTACAGTCCTACTCTGCCCAGCCGACTTTGCTCGGAACCAATAACTGGAAGCTGGCAGTCCCTCGCAAGATCCGCGAAGGAAAATGGAACGAGCCGATAGCATCGAAGTGCATGCTAGGATGGAGCATTCAACGATCGGCGAACCCACAACGATCCATTTTCTGGCAAGAACTTCATGACGACGTCAAGGAACATTTCAACCCTGATGCACTTGTACCACGAAAGCTATATTCAGCTGAAGATGAGCTGGCAGTGAAGATTCTGGAAAGCACCTGCCAAAAGAAGTCCGGGAAATATGCAGTTGGACTTCCGTGGCGCGGTGGTATCGACAAACTCCCTGAGAGCCGGGGTAACGCTCTAAAGCGCCTTACCTGGATGAGGAAAAAGATCTCTCAGGAATCCCATCTGTATGAAAAGATTGACGCCCAAATCAAGAACCTCCTAGGATACACGGTTTAGCTATCCGAGGAAGAAACCAGCCGGGAGAACAGCCGTACATGGTATCTGCCGATATTCATAGCGCTGAATCCAAACAAGCCGAAAAAGATAAGGCTCGTATGGGATGCAGCCGCAAAGGCACACAGATACGCGATAAATGACTACCTACCCAGAAAACCAGATTGCCTCAACCCACTCATAGACGTCTTGCTAGCCTTTCGGCTCAACAAAATAGCGATTTGCGGTGACATTGCGGAAATGTTTCACAGGATTAACATTCGCAGGGAGGATATGCAAAATAGACACCTGTGTCATGCGAGCTATGACTTTTGGGATTAGCTGCGCGCCGTTTATAGTGCACTTTATTCGAGATAAGAACGCGGAAAACCACCAAGAAGAGTTCCCATTGGCCTTAAGCGCCATCCAAAGGGCGCACTATGTTGACGACTTCATCGATAGCATGAGGAACGAACAGGAGACCATCTAGATCACCAGACAAGTCATAGAAGTACATCGCAGAGGCGGATTCGAGATCCGTAACTGGTCGTCGAATTCGGAAGAAGTACTCAAAAGCTTGCAGGATAATGGTCACGTTGGAAGCCAAAAGCCCGTGGATTTTTGTTCAACAGAAAAGATACTTGGTATTTCCTGGGACCCACATAATGATATGTTCAAATTTATCTGCAGATTTTCAAGGCTGAAGCGTAATGTGCTGGCGGAAAACGCAGTCCCTACAAAGCGAGAAGTATTACAAGTTCTGATGTCGATCTTCGATCCATTTGGGATTTTTATCATGCCAGACAATTGGACTTAAAATACTCCTCCAGTGCATATGGCGGCAAAAACTTGAATGGGATCAGGAGATACCTAAGAGATTTCAGAGTCGTCGTATCTTTGGTGATAGCGAAATCTAAGGTGGCACCTTTAAAACCACTTTCGATTCCGCGAATGGAGCTGCAGGCAGCAGTTATGAAAGCACGCTTAGCCCAAAAGGTGATGAGCACACGCAACCTACGGAGATCCGGAAGCATGTGATGACGACGCAAACGAAATCAGTGGTTATGTTCAACGCGCACGATTTCTCAAATTGGTGGCGGTTTTACACAGCAGTGGCGCTAGCACTCCTGTTCATTGATCAGCTGCGAGCGAAATGTGCCGGACAAGACATGCCAAGAACCACGACAATGGCTCATGTAAGCAAGGCAAAGATGCTGCTATACAAGCAATCTCAAGCCATCGCTTTCGCAGCAGAACTAAAAACGTTTTCCGCGGAACCGGCGCTCCTTAAGGGAAGCATATTGGCCTGATTGAACGCATACCTGGACAACGATGGAGTACTACGAACTAGAGGCAGATTGAACGCAGTTAACATAGCTAAGGACGCCATCATATTAGCATTAGGATGCCGGATAACCAACCTCATAGTTAGAAGCTTCTACGAAAAGTATCACCATCTCGTCCATGAGACTGTAATAAACGACATTAAAAATTCGTTTTATATCAGCCGGCTTTGAGTACTGCATAAATCGGTGCGAAACACATGCCAACGATGCAAGATCGACCGAGCAGTTCCCAAACCACCCCAGATGGTACCGATCCCGAGGGCAAGAGTTGGCAGCTTCGAGAGGCCGTTCACCTATACAGGCGTTGACTATTTTAGCTCGTTATCGGTAAACGTCGGCCGGCGCAAAGAGAAGAGATGGGTAGCTCTGTTCGCCTGTTTTACGTTGCGCGCGGTACATTATGAGATCGCCTACAGTCTAGATACCAGTATCCATGTAACCATGTACCATGCATCATGTGCCTAGCCAATTTTATTGCCCTTCGAGGGACACCGAAGGAAATATTCTCAGACAACGGTACAAATTTCGGAGCCATTGAAAAGCCGTGCGTGAGGAGCTGAAAAAGATCGAGCTTGATAAGATGCCACTGCCCAAAGAGGGGATGAGTCTGAAGAGTAGATGGAACAAGACTCTGCGCTTCGGAGACCGCCTTTGGCAACGATGGGTTAAGGTGTATGCGCCCGTATTAACCAGGCGCACCAAATGGTTTTGAGAAGGTACCTCCAATCATGAGCTTCTTACTAGGAACCTGTGGCTAAAAGGACGCGTGACTGACGCAATGATGGCCAACGATGGACAAGTTCGGCAGTTGACCATCAAGACGCAGCATGGTGCTATAGAAAGACCAGCAACAAAGGTAGCAGTTCTGGACGTGGGCTTGGAGAATGGTAGATGACCACGGATCGGGATCACTTACGGGGGAGGGAATGTTACCGTCGTCATAGAATTAAGTTTATTTTTGAAAATGAAATCGTTAGAATTAGTGTTGAATGTTTAGAATCATTTTTGAAAAATGCTAGACGTAAGCATATCGATATATGAAAAAAACCTCGCCCCGATCCCAACAACACCTCTGCAGTCTGCAGTCTTTTTACACCAAAAAAGGCTCTCGGTGGTGACCTACTGTACCTACTGCCTACTGCTATAAAGTTCGACTGCAAACTATTAAAGGGATCATTAATCTTGGCTATTTCCCAAAAAAGTGGAAGAAATCCATCATCATAATGATAACGCCTGGAAAAAAACAATCCAACATCGTACAGACCAATAAGCCTTCTATCTCGTTTGTCTAAATTGTTTTAAAAATACTTGCTAACACGCATAATACCATATCTGTAAGCTTGCATATTGTCCCGGCAAGTCAATTTGGCTTCCGACAAAACCATAGAACCATCGAGCAAGTGAACAGATTAACATCAGAAATACGCTCAGCTTTCGGAGGGCGAGAATAGGGTCGCACTATTTTTCTCGACGTATCTCAACCCTTTGACCCAATTTGGCTTAATGGACTCATGCACAAAATTAAAACTCATTTGCCAAAATACAAAAATCACAGTGTTAAAAATGGTGGAGAATTGTTTGAGTTAATTTTCGTTTCATTTATTTAATTTAAACAATTATCCATTTATCAGTAAACCAAAGAAACGGGTTTTAACTCTTTTTTTGAAAATGGGATTTTTCTGAAATGGAAAAATCGGCCTTTAGGAGCCACTTGGCTCTTTGCTTGGCACTATCTCGCTCACACGCTCTGCTCATTCTTGCTCAAAACCCCTCCTCCACCAACACCAACAAAAAGCAGTGCTATAATTTCTAAACCGCAGCTACAACGGTTGGAAAGTGCTCCTGACCTAGAGGACGGTAAATCAAAAAATGGGCTGAAATGGTTTGTTGACCCTTATTTCGTATTTAATATTAACATATATTTTAACATAAAAGCAGATGCTGAAAGTTTAAACATGATTTGATCTGGTTTAAGTATACAAAGATATTTATTTATGTAAGCCTACATGCTTTCAATAAATAGTGACATTTTGTTCGCCAAGTGCAAGTTTTAATCAATTGACAAGTTAATACATTAAGATGGTGACACAGTTATAGTGAGTTCATTTGCATTAATCACGCCAGTGCTTTCATTTTGGCTTTTTGAAGTGCCACTCATAACTCCAGAGGCAGTGTCAACTGGGTCCAAAACTCGGTCTTCAGTCTTTAATCGTTTATTGGAATTATGCAAATCACTGACTTCTGCAACTGCCTCAGGCGAAGCACATCTTTTGTTTGTAGCGTTTTGTTCATCTATGGTGTGTTCTGCGTTCGTATTATTGATAGATGTTTCTAAATTTTGGAGATTTTTTCCGAATTTCACAATAACGGCAGTCATGTTGTCACAACCAGTTCCATCGCCCATCGTGTTTGGCGCTAAACAGTTATCGAAGAGCTAGCAAAAAATTTGTAAATAATACTATCGTAACAAGAAAGTAAAGTAACTTCGGGCGAAGCCGAAGTTGATATACCCTTGCAGTTAAAGCCGGATATATATCGCAAACATCGGATATAATTGGCCAATCGTTATGAGAATATCATAATAAAAACAAGTTATTACGATACAAAATCTAAAAAAAAGTCTCAAGCTTCGATCTTCAAAACTACCAAAGTTGGTATTTTTACCAAATACAAAATATTAATTCCGATTGTTCAGTTATATGGAAGCATTAGGATACAGTCGGCCGATCCTTATGAAATTTGGTGGGTCGTATTATTTAGCTAAAAATCCGAACTCTCTAACCTAAAAACACTTAAGTTATAGCATTTACGATCAATCAGTTTTATGGCAGCTATAGGATATAGTCGGCCGATCCCGTCCTTTCCGACTTTTATACTGCGTGCAAAGGAAAGAAGGGTTTGTGCAAGTCAATAGCTTTAAAACTAACAGACTAGTTTGAGTAGAAACAGAGAGACGGACATGCTCATATCAAGTTAGGAGGTGATCCTGATTACGAATATATATACTTTATAATGTCGGAGATATTCCTTCACTGCGTTTCACACTTGCGTTTTGACCAAAATTATATTACGCTCTGCAAGGGTAAAAAATTACCAGAAAATACTTACTTCTTCACAAATTTGAGACAATTTCCGGGTTTCGTCTTTTAATTTTAACCGAACAAAATGGACAACCTCCTCACTAGACATATAATTCCATATACCATCACAAGCCAATATCATAAATTCGTCTTCCGGCGTAATAAGTAATTTTTTAACGTCTGGTAATGCCGATATCATTTGTGCCTCAGCAGGCAATCCCAAATTTGTTTTGTAGGCATGATCTCCAAGGGCTCTAGATAAATTTAAACCACCGTTAACACGTCCATCAAGGGTGACACGACCACCAGCGTTGACAATACGCATAGACTCCCTTTCATCTTCTGGTTTATGATCCAAGCTCATTTCAATGGCACGTCCATTGCGGGACACAACGCAGCGGGAATCTCCTGCATTTGCCACAAAAAGATTGCGACCTTGCAATAAACAAACAACAGCCGTACATCCACTATCTTTGCCTGGCTCTTCTATCATATTAGCACAAAAGTTATCATTGGCCATTTGATCTTCATCGATCTCCTCATCGCTGACATCATCATCGTCCTATAAAATAATTAATAAAAAATGTGTCCAAATAAAATAAATCATAACTAGGTAGTAATATTTATACAAGAAATATCAAAGCAACATCAAGATTCGTCTTCAATTTTTTTTATTTTATTTTGTTTTTTGTGTAAATCTAAATTTATTTATGTATTTTTTATTATGTTTTTATTTTTAATTATTTTTAATTTAATTTTATTAGGTTTAACCTAATTTCTTATAACAATTTTGAAGAGCAATCTTCAATAACACATAATAATAGTTATTAACAATAGTTAATTCAATAACAGTTTTACGAATCTCTCAACGTAAAAAATTCAACCGTAAACCAAAATCAAAAGAACAAAAGTGTCTTGCTCTGAGAGAGAGTGATTGTCAAAATTTTTTGCGGTTGTTCGCATAAACTAGTGGTGGGCAAAATCTCATTTTACATAGCACGCGTGTATAGTGTAAGAAATTCTGCCGCAGCGCTGCCGGCACACTGACAGTATGAGCTTTCTCAAATTTTTTTAGATGCTCTCCCATTTGCTCTCATTTTGATTCATTTGACAGCCCAAACTAAAAATCAAAATGTTTCCACTGAGAAAAAAATTTTCTCAGAAATTGGGTAAGAAAAAGTTTTCTCCATAGAAAATATAGATAGAAAAGCGTAGCTTTTCATTTTTTTAAGAACTCTTGCTAGAAAATCTTTCTTTAAAATAAAATACACCATTTGAAATGAAATACACGAAAAATGAATTAAAAAACTACTTTTTTTCGCTCAGTGAATGCTTTGCTCTCATTGTTTTTCTCTGTAACGCATACACTCAAATTTTAAACATGTGTGCGTTTTTCCCCCCACTGGCATAAACTGAACATAAGGAAAACAAGAAAGGAAAGCTTACTTCGGGCGGAGCCGAAGTTTATATACCCTTGCAGTTAATACCGGATATATATCGCAAACATCGGATATAGTTGGCCGATCCTTATGAATACATCATAATAAAACCAATTAACTAAAATAAAAAATCTAAAAAAAGTCCCAAGCTTCTATCTTCAAAAATAAGAAAGTTGATACTTCTACCAAGTACCATTTCCGATCGTTCAGTTATATGGCAGCTATAGGATATAGTCGGCCGATCCTAATGAAATTTGGTAGGTTGGATTAACTGGCCAAAAATATAATCTGTATTAAGTTTCAGATTTCTATCTTCAAAAACACGAAAGTTGGGTCATTTCCGATCGTTCAGTTATATGGCAGCTATAAGATATAGTCGGCCGATCCTTATGAAATTTGGCCTGTCGTAATGGTTTGCCAAAAATAGCTCTCGTGTCAAATTTGAACTCTATAGCTCAAATTTGTAACTCTAAAAACACCAAAGTTATACCATTTCCGATCAATCAGTTATATGGCAGCTATAGGATATAGTCGGCCGATCCGAAAGAAGGGTGTGTGCAAAGTTTCAAGACGATAGCTTCAAAACTGAGAGACTAGTTCGCGTAGAAACGGACAGACAGACAGACGGACAGACAGACGGACAGACGGACAGACGGACATGCTCATATCAACTCAGGAGGTGATCCTGATCAAGAATATATATACTTTATAGGGTCGGAGATGTCTCCTTCACTGCGTTGCACACTTTTGGACAAAATTATAATACCCTCTGCAAGGGTATAAAAATGAAAGGAAAGCTAACTTCGGGCGGCTATATAATCTTATAGCTGCCGTATAACTGAACGATCGGAAATGGGTATTTGGTAGAAATACCAGCTTAGGTATTTTTAAAGATAGAAGTTTGGGACTTTTTTTTCAATATTTTTTTGTAATTAATTGGTTTTATTATGATATTCTCATAAGGATCGGCAAACTGTATCCGATGTTTGCGATATATATCCGGTTTTAACTGAAGAGGTATATCAACTTCGGCTCCGCCCGAAGTTGGCTTTCCTTTCTTCTTAAGGTTTCAGAGTGTTTCCCTTCATCTGCTCCTATCTTAAAACCCTCTGCAAGGGTAAAAAAATAATATAGTGGAAAATTAAATAAAAACAAAAAAGTCGAGTATCCCGACTATGTTATACCCGGTATTCATCTCTTCTACCCACACTTGAACTAAGCAAAAAAAGTTGTTGCAAACTTATGCGCTTGGTGCGCTTAGTGACTTCCAACGTCACTATAACTTCTCTAAAAATTGTACGTTTTGGCTGAATTTTCCATTAAAACATTTACCTAACATTTTGGCATGAAAACATTTTCCAAGATTTCCACACATTTTTTTATCCGATTTGTATGGGAAATATATGGGTTTACCCCCTCTAAAAACCAGCCGATTTGGATTTGCCATTTGATGCGATTTGGCATAAAAAATTAAAAAAAAAATACCTTTCTGTACTGGCGCTACAGAAATTTGGGGCGTGGCGCCAAATATGAACTACGTTATAAGAGTCTCCACGCCAAGTTCTATAGCTTCATCTTTTATAGTCTCAGGATACACGTGTCCATACGGACAGACGGTCATGGCTTTATTGACTCGGTTGTTGATGCTGATCCAGAATATATGTATGTTACATATGTACATACATTCACACGACTACAATATACCATTGTACTTTATACCGGGTACAAAAATAGAGGTTAGAATAATATGGTTATACAGCTAAACGTGGCTATATAAGCTCTACCATTGACGTACAAATCAAGTCGTTAAATGAAGTCGTAAACAGCGATAATAACCTACCTCATCATCATCATCGTTGTTAGTAGAGTCAATATCGTCATCAGAACTTTCTTCAGTTGGGATATCCGAGCTTTTAATATTTTCATAATCATCATCATCATCTGTGGACTCCTCCTCTGCTGCAGACGTCGTCATCTCTCTAAGTTTCTCTGATTCTTTACTAGACGAAGAGTAATTAATATTGGTTATTTCCTTGCCATTGGGTTTAAATTTTTCTATGTTGCAACCAGATTTGAGAGAACTTTTTAAATTTTTGTTGTCACCTTCACATGTAACCTCTGAGATAGTTTCACACCCATTATGATTACTTTTGTGCAATTTTGAAATAGCATTATCTGATGGTATGTCAGCATCAGTTTTACTTGTAATAAGATTGGTGTCATGTGTACCAAAAGATGAACCAGAACCACCCGAACACCTTTCTACCATTTTTGCAGATTGTTTTGAACGTATGTTGTCAATACTGGCAAATGAAGCGGCTGCTGCAGCGGAAGTTGAAGAACCTTCTGGTTTGGCTAAGGGGTCCATTACAGCTTTATTTGCAGCTTCTGCAGCCACTGCTGCAGCTCTGCGACCCCGTAAATATGGGGATTGATGTTTTAAGCCAGCATTGGCATCTGATTGGATCTTAACCAAATCATGTGCTAAAGGAAGCCCTTTATATTTCTCTAAAACTTCATTTAAAGGCAAATGGCTTTCCTCTCGTAGCTCAATTAGGTCTTCCTCATCTTCATCTTCTTCGGCATCCACTTCGGCAAGGTTATGCTCGCCTGCCAATATTTTTAAAAAAGAGACCACTGGTGGATCCAGCAATGTTTTGTCAAATGCTAAAAAAGCCTCTTTAAGAGCTTCTTCTATTTGACCACGTTGATACGAATCATTACTTTTCAAGAACTCTGGAAACTTATCAGCGCAGTACTGTGCAACCTCGGCACCGCCGTGGCCGTCATATACAGCAAAAAAGGATGCATTTTTGTCAAAGTTTAAAATGGAGTTGTGGGCGTCCTAAAGAAAAAAAATAGTTTAATCTTTTTAAACTAAGTATTACTTTTTTTTACCTCTTGACTGTTTCGCCATCCTTGCATTGAACTTGTTCCAACGGTAAGTAATTCATTAAATTCATCTGTTGATGCCTTATCTGTTTTTGGCTGGGACAAGTAAGCACCCATGATGTTTAGTATTATTTAGTTTTGAAAAAAAAACCACAAAAAAAAATTCTGAAGTCAAAATCTTAGACCTAACATGTTAGCATTCGAAAAATCGATGCTCAAACAATATCACGCACGCGTGGTGCATGTGGTAAATTGTTTTGCCCCGATGATAAAAACAGGTTTTATATTTGTATTTAGGTATGTATGTATAGACGAAATTTTAGGTCCAACGCTCTAATATAGAAAAATTTGCTGCTGCACGTGAGTTTTCAAACTTCTTTCCAAACCAACTGGCATAACAAATGATTCATTTTTTTTATGTATAAGCAACACTCTGAACTATACGACTTCTGCCAAAAGCCCCAAAGTATTTTGTTTTGAGAAACACGAATATTTCATCGATTAATGATATATGTGTAAAGAACATACATATATGTGCATACATTTTCCGATAACAAAATGACAATTGACTCTAAATATATGTCCCACTTCGTTTCCGGTTAAGATAGAAGAATAATATTTATAGATATTAAACCGACCGTAATTATTATGAGTTTCATTTAAAAAATCACTAAGCACTAAGCACTAAAATAACTAGCGAAAAAATAAAAATCAAAAAATAATCATTATTCTATGATCGAAAAAAAATCACAAAATAATCAATATTGTCTGAGCCAAAAAATATATATCATAAATAATCATTATTTTTTATTTTTTTCGATCAAAAGTCAAGTACAAAAGTTGGTATTTATACTAAACACCAAATACTTTTTCTGACCGTTCAGTTATATGGAAGCTATAAAATATAGTCGGCCGATCAATATCAAATATGGTAAAATCTGTACGAAGTTTCAACTTCAACGAATTTCTTATTTCATTTTTCGTTAATTAAAAAGTTGGAATGGGCACCTAAATAGTATATTCAAAGAAAGCTCTGCTAGCAACAGTTTTTAAACAAATGAAAAACTACGCTTCCCCATCTATATTTTCTATGGAAAAACTTGTTCCAACCCAATTTCTGAGAAAATTTTTCTCAGTCGATACATTTTGGTCCGGCAGCGCTGCGGTAGAATTTCCTACCCTATGCACGCGTCCTATGAAAAATTAGAGTTTGCCCTTCACTGCTTCCAAAACACGAAAGTTGGGTCATACCCGATTTTTCAGTTATATGACAGCTATAGGATATAGTCGGCCGATCTGTATGAAATTTGGTGGGTTTTGATTATTTTCTCAAAAATAGCATTCGTACAAAATGCGAACTCTCGAAATCTAAAAACACCGGAGTTATAGCATTACCGATCATTCAGTTATATGGCAGCTATAGAATATGGTCGGCCGATCGTTCCGACTAATATGCTGCCTGCAAAGGAAAGAAGGGAGTGTGCAAAGTTTCAAGTCGATAGCTTTAAAACTGAAAGGCTAGTTTACGTAGAAACATATATTTGTTTATATACTTTATAGGGTCGGAGATGTCTCCTTCACTGCGTTGCACACTTTTGACCAAAATTATAATACCCTCTACAAAGGTATAACATATCATTATTTTAAGAATTTTGTAAATTGTGTAATCTAATATCACATTTACATCGAACCATTTGAGAAATGTTATGGCTTCGTCACTTCTAATTGGTATCTTTTTCCCAACATAACTGCCATTGCACTATGGGCAAGAAGTCCCAAATTGCGGTACCTTACATGTTTTTTTTTATCTGTATTATTCAATTGACTTTAATTTCTGAATTAGAATACTTCAAGAAAACTGAAACATTTTTATAAAAAATTTTACAATTCGTTGGTATTTTGGAATTTTTCCATATACAATGTATATTCCAAAATACCAATAAAGACTACAATCTGGCCTTTTTGATTTTTTTCTGCCAGTTTTATCTTTTAATTGTAAATTAAACAAAAAAACCGAAATATGAAATTAATTATTAGCACTAAATGTTTATTACAATCGTACGATTGTCGAATCGTACGATTGTCGAATCGTACGATGTGTTGTTGGTAAGTTTTTAGACCGCTGCTTACAAATTTATCTGTGTTTCTGTGGAGTGTAATTTGTGAGTCTAGGGCAGTCGAGGCAATTTTAAAGCTTAATGTTATTTACAAAACTGTTAACAATCAAATAATGGTTTCAATTTTTGGCCGATTTACGGCAATACTCAATGTTTCAGTTGCAGTTACATATTTTTTCAACGTTGCTTGATATTGGAGCGACAACAACCGTCAACGATGATTGATTATGCATATATGTGATTATTTAATAATAAAGAATTTCATTGTATTTCATGGATTCATTAACACTAATTTACCAAAATGCAACAGAATGCTCGACCGTTTTAAAGAAAAGCATGCGTAATAGCTTGCATCATCTTAAAAAATTTAGTTTCTTAAATATGATATTCCACGCGAAATGCCTGGTAAAGCAAAAATCGGCATCATGCAACTTCTACATTGACCAAAAAATTGAGGACGGGGCGACACTTATTGTCTGCTGCAAAAAGCATTAAATAGAGAAAATAAAGCTGGTATGAAGAACCAATTTATGCCGAAAGAGATAACAACAATAAGTCCTGAAAATGCTTTAGCCTTTTTAATTGAAATTAACTAAAAAAAACGACAATATATTATTTAAAAAAAATAAGTAAGCTCCATGGATGCGATATTTATTGCCCTTATTCGGATGTTACAAAAATAAAATTGAAATGCATATTAGAACAAGATAAACAAGATATCTTATTCTGAATCTAAATTATTCTACAAACGGTCTGCGATGAAAGGAAACTGAATAGACGAAAGAGTGTTGTTCTCTAAGAATGCTCAGCCGTCGATGAAGAAGAATTTGAGCTGCTGTAGAAGGTGGGAAGTAGGTTAATACATATGCTTAAATAAGCCTTGCGAAATTGCAGCACCAAAGATGCTTATTCGATTAAACTAAAGTCATTAAGATCAGGACGATTTGCCAGAGAAGGACTGTAGGGGGTCACAACCAAACTAGTATAGGTTCTTTTGGGCCTGTTGGAGGTCTTGTCTGCCCTATTGTAGGACGATGACGTGGAACGGCTGGTCGTTTCGGTAGTTGGACTACTTTGAGATCGATCATTTTGGTGTGAAAGCTTGCAGCGACGAAATGAGAGCCCACAGATTCTGAAGGACACTACAGTGTAAGCTGTCTGTCAATACCATACGGGAATATTATAGAAGAAGTATCACTGTTGAGATCGGGGCGAGGTTGGTGCACGATTTTTTAAGCAAACATGGATTTGGTTGTTCTTTCCTTTATTTAAACTCAAATAATGGCACGCGAGTGCGCGAGAGCTAAAAAATTTTGTCGTTTTCCCCCGCCTTTAGCTTCACCTGGCGATCGCAAACGCCTCGTTCTTTTGCCATTCTTCCGTATATCGATAAGCTTACATGTAGCGTTTTTCAAAACTTATTCTAAACATTATTCAACACTAATTTTAACGATTTCATTTTTCAAATATAAATTTAATTCTATGACGGCGGTAACAATCACATTGTGTTGCAACTAATCTATGACACATGTAATGAAAATGAAGCAAATCGAGTAGTTTCGAATATAAACGAACTATGAAGGATTACGTTGTTAAAGAAGAGACCGGTCACTTCACATTATGAAGTAAATAATCTGAACAAGCCAGCAAAAATACGATTGGTATGCAGTGCAGCGACACGATCGGAGTCATTGAATTCTGCACTTGGTAATGGGTCGCAGCCCTTACAGTGGGAAGGGTTAGTGAGAAGACGCAGAAGGTCGCAACCCTTACGGTGGGAAGGGTTAGTGAGAAGACTTCAAGTGACATCATCCGCAAAATGTCTGCGGGCGTTAGCCATCTCTCTAAGTTTGGATATTCTTTTCTCTATGAACTGTTTTTAGAACTTGTGTGTGCTGCCAATCCTGTACTGTCTTCGAGTCTGTCCCATACGTCTAATGAGCAAACCATTTAGCAAACCATATAATGGTGTCCATTAATCTGGTCCATTTAAAATAATTTAAACATATTTTCGGACGATTATATAGCTTACATAGCACCATAGTAAGGTTGATTAAGCAATGGTGCGCTAAAATACTTCCAGTAGAGTTGCGTTGCTTAAATTTCATTTTTGGCACATAAGATATCTGCTATATTTAAAATATATTTTGTATACATGTGTGAAAGATCCTGAACCAATTTAACTACCGAACTGAACGGACGTGCCGTGCCCGAGCTCCAGGAAAACTGCAACATAATAGTTTTTTAATAAATTTATAAAACAGTTAACAAACGAAATAGTAACACAATATAACCAAAAAGGCACTGAACCACAATTTAATAAAAGAAATAGACAAGCTTTTTATAACAGTTGTGATGTGCTAAATCAAAACTGGTTCATTTTTTTAAATAAATAAGTGCCACGCAATAAGTTCATTGAGCAACGATCAAACGAACGAGCGTAGAAGTTTAGTGAACCAAAGAAACGGCTTCCACTCTTACTTTTAAACCCGCGAAGTGGAAAAATCGGCGATAAACAGCAACCATGCTTTACTGATCGCTGAAAGCCTAAGGGCACGGTCTTGCTCACCTGCTCTGATCACTCCGAATCCCGCGTCATGGAGTTCGCATTGTAAACAACCAAGCCGCCTCCAATCTATATCAGGGAGAAAAGCTCGAGGGCCCTCGAAACAACCAAGCCGCCTCCAATCTATATCAGGCAGAAAAGCTTGAGGGCCCTGGTCAACCGAATTGAGGCGTTGATCGGGAACGGTGACAACTTTTTTTGTCCCGTTTATCATAGGGAACATTCATGAAACATAGGTGGAAGCGAAGGCTGAAGAGCACTCCTGAAGCGTGTCCAAATATCTGGACAATGCTCAGAAAAACTAATACACGTACCAGCTGAAAAGCAATAATGGCCCACAAGTGCTAGTAAAAAGAATCGAACCCGATGTAACCACCGCGGAAATAAAAACCGCCCTTAAGAAAAGGGCTTCGCCGCCAAGAATGTTATTAACATTTTAAATAAAGATAAAAAGCCACAACCCCTCTTCAAGGTCGAGGTCGAGCCAGAACGCAGGTCGGGATAAAAGAACGAAGTCCACTCAATCTACAAGCTGCGTGTAGTCTGCGGGGACGCACAGTGGTCGATTTGGCCTGGCTAGCGGCATTTAATTATAATTTTCAAATTTAAAAAAACGTAAATTTAAGTTTACCTATCGATAATATAAACCTTAATTAGATGCTAATTGATGTTTTCTAAGCTCATCAATAAGCTGATCAGCTGTGAACTGTCAAAGTCAACATATGCTTCAGCAGTTGATATTTACATTTTTGGCGCCCTTTTACTTATTGGTTGCATATTTGAATAAATAGTGAAATTTACGATTATTCTAGTGCAAGTTTGGTTTTTAACAACTATTAAGGTATGTGCTACATAGAAAATCTGTGCTTGTGACGTGTCAGTATA